GTGGTAGTTGATTTCAGAACATAAAGGTGGAAGACAACTTGGCTGAGAATAAACATGAAATTCCTAAGGTTGTAACCCTTGGGAAAGAAAGGAGGAGGAACATATCAGAATAAAACCTTCTACCTGTTGAAGTCCGGTATGAATAAACTTAAAAGACTTGATAAAGAAGATTCTAGAGGAGAGAAGGGGGAACTGATACTTTCTCAAACAAACATCTTAAGCAATAACAACTGTCTTAGAGAATTGTGGAAGATTGGTCAAGTATTGAAAGACTGGAGGATGGCTCTATATTTGCCCATCTTGAAGAAGATAATACAGAGAAGTGACAGACAAATCAGTCTAAGTTCACTTCTGGGGAGAAAAAATCTGTAAGTAGTTGTAACTGACAATCTGAAAGCATCTGAAAGGTGACAGAGATGAATAGCAGCCCAAACTCATCAAGGAAAAAAAATGTAATCATATCAATCATTTTTTTGTTATAGGGTTGTGGATTTGTAGGTAAAGATATGGTAGGTTTCTTTTATCTTGAGTTCAGTAAGTTTTTTTTTTTTTTAATAATATTATTTATTATCCTGCATGGTTTTTATAATAAACTAGCTCAGGAAACATGATCTTCTATGACATGGGTGCACAATTCAGTTCAAGTGCAAGTTCGGGAAGGGTAAGGGCTGGGTCTGTACTAAAAGGCTAGTATCTGATTAGATAGCTTTTTTTCAGAACAGGACCTGGCACTTGACGGTGGGTCACTAACAAAACGTAAGCCTATGATACCATGCTGCTGTAAAATAAAGAAGTAAATATTGTACAGGATATATCAACAGAAGTGCAGCCTTATGAATAGTTCTTCCACTTTTTTCAGTTCTGGAAAGATCTTGGCTAGGGCTCTGCCTCTGTAACTTAGGAAGAATGTATCTGGAGGATAATATAATGTTTCTGAATAATCAGAAGTCTAGAAAACACAATCTGTAGAGAAAGGTTGAAAGAACAGGGATGTATTTCTTCCAGAAACAAGAATTGTCAAGGATGTAAAAGGCTATTACAAAAAAAAGAATACTTTACTTTTTTTATTCCTGTATGACCTTCTGCCCTAATGATTAACTATTTCATTGATTCCTAAGAGCATGAGCAGCTAGTTACTTTCATCAGTTCTACCCTAGTCCAATTTTCAATGTTTTCAATCTCTTCTGTTACGATATTCTTGTTGTCATCTGCATTAGCAGGATATTCTGGCTTTTCTTCAGAAAATACTGGAGCACTCGTACTTCTTGCAGCCTTGCTATAAGTTGTTAATGAATGCTCAGAGTGAAACTCACGAAGTCTGAATATTTTAGCTTCAGCATGTTACTGAAATAAGACAAGTGCTTTTGAATCTCTGTCTGTCTGTCTGTCTCCCTCTGCTATGAAGAACTGCATTGAATGCTTTGCAAAGGTCTAAAAAGATGAATTTAACTGCATTTGCTTTGTTCAGAAAAAGTTGATGCATCATCATTAATGAAAAGCTGATGTATTATAGCTCATATGATATTTACTTGCATGTTTTTAATCATTTTTTGGGAAAGCATTCTGAGGCTTGCGGAGTGCTTAGTTGAAACTGCCTAACAAGACCGTTGTTGCCGGGGTGACCTGTTTTCTCCCTAAAAGACTGAAAGATAGTTGCAGTCACAGAAGATATTCCCGCTATATCACCTATATTAAAGATGTTTGCTATAGGCCTGCAATTTCATGTGCCAGCTTTTTTGCAAACTCCAACCTGGAGACCTAATTCTTGTGAGCTGGGTACCACAATGGACTTGCATCAACTCTGATATTGGGTGGGGAAGAGTTCTGAATCCAGGTCTCTTATCTCCTTGGGAAGTTTCTGGCCTTCAGTAACAGGTTAAAGTCTGTGGGCTTTGTTAGACTTTGAAAGGTCTTGGATTCAGCTGATGTGGAGCAGAAATCTCTCATGTATTTCTCAGGTGGAAACACTGTTCCTTGTCTTGTCACAGGGCATCTCTAACTTAGCTCTCTTTAGCTTAGAGACAGATTTATGGAAGGCCACGTGCATGCATGTGATTAACGATGATTTGAAAATGTCAGTAGCCATTTATTGTTAATAAGAGCGTATCATTGTGCTAGATTAAATCATAAAAACATAAGGAGAAGTATCTCATATGACAAATGAGCATTTTGAGAAATGTTATCCGATAACACTTGTCTGTGTGATTTGTTTAATGTAATCAAAATTAAAAAGAGAAATAATCACTTACCATGACATTTGTGGTTGGAAATGCCCTGAACAGAATTGTAGTATGCTAGCCTTTTCATTCTACGTTATCCAAAGTGTTTGCACATGTTTTGTTTTCTACATGCAGAGAAAACATTTTAGGGTTTTTTCTGAAGTGATTTTTTCTTTTGATATAACTTCAGTTTTATATAGAAAATGTGTGTCTTAAAATTAGTATTAGGCAGGATCCCTCTTTCTGTATGTCTTCATGTCTACCTCCACAAAAATTTAAATATAACATTTTCCTAGTATTTTTCTGTGCACAAAAGCTAAAAACTGAAGATCGCATTAAAAAGCGTGCTTACCCAGTCTGTCTGGAGGCATCATTGCCAAGGGCAGGCAAAAGGCTGAAAGGAACAAAACAAAGCATTGTTTGTTCATTTGAATTTTTGTTCTGCAGGCTGCGTTTTGCGTCTTATGCGTGCCATAGGGTATGAACAACAGTAAAGTCTATTCCTTCAGAATCAGTGGGACCACAAATGTTACTGAGAGGAATGAGCTGGTGATAATTATTAACATGGCTAAGAAGTAGTACACTATTTTTTCATTTGATTTACTTTTTTCATTTGATTTGACTTGTAGCCATTTCAGATAGGGACTCTTTCTGCTACTGAGTGTCAAGTGGAACAGAAAAGCTTCTGTGAGCATCAGCTGCGTCAATCAGATCATGGAGTAAGCAAGCAGGCATTCGAGTGTTAATTGTCTGAGTTTTGAAGTCTTTTTCTGAGAAAATCTAATGAACCACTGAATAAAAACTGTAGCTGAGGATAGTACATTTTATTTTGTGCCAAGAGCAGTGCATGAAGAACTCAATCAAAATAAGAACCACTTGTCAACTTTTTCTTTTTAAGCAGGTAGCTATTTTCTAAATTTGAGATAATAAATTTTACAAGTGTGAGTTCCCAAATGTGTCAGATCAACAGAGATATTTGAGGGTTTTTTTTTGGGGGGGGGGAGGTGTATGCACGTGTAGCTTGTTATCTTATGCTTTCTATCTTACACTTTGGATTATTTGAATAGTCCTTGTTTTTTAGAAATAGTTTACTATTTTAAGCATACAGCCCTCCAACCCATTGTCATTTTGCTGCTGTGTCTGAAAAAGGATGCAAGATATGCACGAGTTAAGTTATCTAAAGTCAACACAGAGGTTCTTAAGTGTTCTCTTATTTTTAAAATAAGATATATAGATATCTATCTATATCTATATATAAAATATTTTTTCCTTAACAAGGATAGGTTCGCCTGTCCTAGCATAATTTCTTTGGATTCAAAATACAGTTGCAGGGTGGAAGGGTTGGTGTTTCTTTCCCCTACCATCTATCCTTTTTTTGGCTTTCAGTTTGCTTTAATTGTCATAATGGTTATACATGTTCTTTCAGCTATTTTATTTTTTAACAGCTCCTTCAACAGCAGTAGTCAAATAACTTCAGGGAGACCTGAGGAATAAACTTCAGTACTGATACATAAGGCCCTCTGCAAATCGGTATTCTCAGATCAGCTCTCCTGAGCTGCTGTTCTCTTCTTTCTTAGAGTACCAAGCAAGCTCTTTGCCTTGTGGTTGGAGGGTTTTTTATCAAGAAACTTTTTTATATGGAGAAACACCTGGATGGAACTTTGAGATTTGACCTTGATTGCAAAATGTAAAGGTACTGGAACATATCCAACTCTCTCCAAGCTCTCTGCAGTCTTACTACTTAGAGCCTTTTGGGGGAGGATTGTGGGGACAGACAGTGAGCTCATATCTGTTTGCTGTTTATGTCATAACCTGGTTATACCCTTACTAGTGGGGTAAACATTTTTTTTTCCTGTTTTACCCTGTTTTGAAAGAAGAAACTCTACTTTTAAAACACTGAGATGTGCTTTTGGTTATGTACCATATTTCTTCTGGGCAGAAAATCCAGAAGGATACAATAATCAGTCTCAGTATTTGGATTCAAGAGTCAAAACGGGGACTTAGTGTCATACTGAAGTCAAACATGTTAGACTGTATTTATCTCTGATGAAAGTGGGAAGAAGATTCCTGGCTGATGCCCTTTCAAGGTAGGCGGGCAGGTGTTTGATGATTGCATAAGGCATCTTACAAATTCAGTGTTTCCTCCGACTTTGACAAAATTACGGTAGTATCTGTGAAAGCTTTTAAAAAGCTCTTTTAAGCATGGGTTGGATTTAGACTTCAGGAAGTCTTTAGGAGATGAAGAGTTGTGTATTTTAATAATTACTTCACAATGTTTTTAACTGATTTTATTTTGGTTGTGAACTTGTAAAATGTACATAACTCCTCTGTTGACATCCTGTGTAACGGGCTTTTAGTTGTTGAAAAAATGCCATATTCTTTCATACAGAACTTGAATTCCTTTTCTTCAGGTTATTGATGTATTACAGGCAAATGTAATCAGATGAAAACTCAAATGATTCACAATCTGTTTCTTATTCTATTAAGTTTAATAGTATTCATTTGAACCTTAAAGGTTGCTCCAGCAGATGTTATGCTAAAGATAAAACAGTCAATTGTGTCCAGTCAACTTGACTTTTTTTTAACTAACCCTTTCTTGTTGTAGGCTGGTTTTCATCAGCACAATTCTATATCCAGCATGTGTTTATATATAACGCTTTCCTTTTATCTGTGATGACGTGCTTTTGTGCATACACGTCTGAAGAATACGAGGTGGTGGAAAGTGAGTATCTAAGACTATAAGCCTGTGAGATACAGAGATGCTATTGATATTTTTCACAGAGTATGCTGAATTTCTACACTGCAAAGGGAGGAAATTTACTGATTTTGATGAAGTTCGTCAGGAAATTGAAGTAGAAACAGATAGAATAACCGGAGTGAACAAAGGCATTTCTTCAATTCCTATTAATTTAAGAATATACTCCCCACATGGTAAGTAAAATTGTTCTTTGTATTCCTATCATGTAATATATTATCTATCTCTGTTTAGCTGTCTCCTCATTGCTTAATTAGAAGTCTTTGGAAATGAAATGATTTCTGAGATTATGTTGGACCAAAAGCGCTGTATACGTCTGCCCGTTAGAAGAACTCTCAGCTTCTCCTGTATTATGAAGCCATCCTACTGCAGAGAGCTGTTGCCACTAGAGCTGGGCAGAAAACAGCCTCTCTGTCACGTATAATGTCCTCATGATTTAAAAATATTCCCATTCTGCATCAGGATGAAGTCGATCTCTCCATAGTACACATACTATTAGTTAGTAGCTCAGCAGTAAAGATGTAGTAAGATAGTAAGATTTTGGGGGACTTGGTATCAAGACGTTTTTTTTTCTTTTTTTTCTTTCTTTTTTTACTTTTTGCCACCCTCCCACATCGAGATGGATTCCCTGATCAGTGGTCTAGAAAGCCAGTGTGTCTCCCCGCCCTATTGGATGTTTATTGTTCCCTGTCACTTAAAACATATTTGGACAATAAAGGTGTTTGAAGCCGCTTCCTGTTGTAGACCCCCAGTATAGATCAAGGTTAGTTCATCTGGTTGCCATCTGCCCAATTTAATAAAGGCAGTCCTAGAAGATGTTCTGCACTGAATCTGTCTTGAATCCAGAGGAAAAAGTAGTATGTTTGGCTGAGACATTTTGTTTTCTTAATCACCTCATCTGATGCCTTGATTGGGAGTCAAAGAGTAGAAGGTTTAAAATAAGAGGAGAGGTAATTAAAGAGATACTGAACCTCCCTTTGATATGCTGTGAGCAGACTTGGTTCTAAACACTTGCCCCTGAGCCCTGTCTCTGCCATACAGATGTGGCATAGCTAGCAGGAGCGGAGCTGAACTAAATGTCCTGCCTCAGAGCTCAATTGTGGAACATGCCGACTCCAGGAGAAGGTGAAAACTTTCTGTCTAATGCTCTTACGTTGTTTTATTAGGATCAGTCCTTTAGTTCAGCAGCTATTTGTCGATATTAGTCAGACCCAAACTGTACTTTCTTGTGTTTCCTTTCTAGGAATATTATTTTTCTCACTTGTCTAAAGGATACCCTGTTACTCCAGTATTTTATAAGCAATTCTAACGGTTAAAATATTCAATAATACTATTAAATCCAGAGATGAAAACCCAATAGGGAAACAGTAGTGCTAACAAGTGTGGTTTGTCAGGCTTTTTATTTTATTTTGAACAGTGTTCATATACCTGTGAAGCTTATTATGTAGGGTTTTATGTGATTAAAAAACTGTCTGCAGCCAGAGATCCATTGATCTCTTTAAATATATCTAGCATGCTAACCAGTTTTGTGATCCTATGCTTTCCATTTAGTATTGAGCCTGACTCTTATTGACTTGCCGGGAATCACTAAAGTGCCAGTAGGGGATCAACCTCCAGATATTGAGCAACAAATCAGAGACATGATAATGCAGTTCATCTCTCGGGAGAACTGCCTGATATTGGCTGTGACTCCAGCTAACACTGATCTGGCCAACTCGGATGCACTGAAGTTAGCTAAAGAAGTGGACCCTCAAGGTAAGCATGACTGAATGTTCAATTGCTTTTCGTTCTTAAGTACAATAACATAAGTGGAAGCATATAATAACTAAGACTATTGTGCTTTTTTGTTTTACTGCTAAATATATATTATAATATAAATCTATCTATGCGTTCTGATGTAGACTTCAGCACCACAATAATTGTTAGCTCAGCCTAATTCGTATAATGCTGTAAATTGTAGGGTTTGTAGGGTGTGGGTTTCTTTTAGTTCAGTTTGTTTGTTTATTTTTATTTTGTCACTAACTCCTATAAGCAAGCAAGTATGGCAATGCCTGTCTAGAAACTTTTGTAGCAACTAGCAAAAGGGGACCTCGATGCCAATGGGATTTCTGAATACTCTGTCATAAATGTTATATAGTAGTGTCCTGGGAATGCTGAACCTCATTAAAGAGATTTGAAGAATGCATTTCAGCACTGGGAATGATCTCTTTTCCAGGCACACCTCAACTTGCAGCTGTGCCTGGTATTGTGTGATGCATGCTTTGCAAATATCACATTTTTTAAAAAGTATTATGGAATTCTAAGACGTAATTGGCCTTCCTGACTATAAATGATCCTTTATTATCTTTTTTCCCTCCCCGCTCCACCCCGGTCAGGCCTTAGGACCATTGGTGTGATCACAAAATTGGATCTGATGGATGAAGGAACAGATGCAAGAGAAATTCTAGAAAACAAACTGCTCCCTCTTCGTAGAGGTGCGAATGTTCAATTGCCTATATCATACGCAGCCCAGAGGATGATCTGGGCCAGGGTGGTGTTTGAAACAGTTCTGGGCTGAATCAAAGGTCACATGGGTCTTAATGGGTTCCTATCTTTTTATCATTATCTAAACAGCAAATATAACAGGAGGTTGTGCCAAAATATCTAATAGTTAAAAGGCATTTTCACTGGACTTGGAAAATAAACTGGGCTATTCCAGAAGAAAAAAGGATTGTCAGAATAAGTAGTTAGCAAACTTTTTTGGTGCTAGGCTACCATCCCTTGCCAAAAGGGACTCAGAAGCAAGCACCAGAGCTTTGGTAACTTCACTGTAAAACAAGTTTTGCGTCTTCCAGAAATTTTCCGTATGATTGTTCGTGCAGTTACTGTTGCAGTCGTTTGCACTGCTAACAGTATCAAGAATTTTGTTTCTAATTTTACTTTACCCAGGACACCATCTACTCCTGTTATAGCAACACAGAAAACAGTTGTGTTGAACCAGCAGACAAGAAGAAATTTCCCATTTATCCTCTATTCTGCTAAGTTCATATCATTTACCTATGATGACTTCCCCCCCCC